TGACACATCCCATCTTTGTGCTCTAACCACTGGCCAACAGCTAGGGTTTTCTTGCCTGCCATAGACCAGTTGTCCATGTGAACCCTGCTGATGTGCATTAAGTTCTGTAGCTTCCCTGTCGAGCTGGCTTTTGAAATTGGCTTGAAATAATATGGTAAATTTGAGATTCATTAATGAGTTAATTAATTAATCCTGGGTACTCATTGGTTGGATGGTCCGCTACATTCCATATCCTAGTGACATTTAAAAAAAACAACAACAAAGGATACTTAGAGTGAGTAGTAAGTATTCTTATCAGCGTCATTTAGCGTGGGCACTCTAATGGACAATTTCTTTCCCCTTTTTTTCCTTCTTTTTCCTCCTCTTCCTCCCCATTCCCTCTCTCTGCTATTTATTTGAAAACTAGACCCCTTAAATTCCATTAATCTGAAGTGGATTGTACCCACGAAAACTCATGATATCATCTCCATTGTTTGTGCTGCAAGACTATTCGTTGTTTTTTAAGTTTAACTTTGATCTAGTTATTTTTTAAAGGGGACTAGATCAAATCACATGAACAAATGGCTAACAGGTATCAGCAAGGTCCACAAAAACTGTTGAGGTCTATGGCTAGTGCAAGGCAGATACACACCCCAGCTTGCTATCAACTAATTATTCCCATTGACAAGAAGATAGTCTCCCTTTTCATTCCTTTCCTTGTTTACTTTGAGTGCCAACATGGGTTTTCACCTGTACTAACTGTACAAATGACTCTGATGTGAGCATTTGTTCACTCAGAACTCGACTGAGTCCAACAACTTCTTTCATATCTCCTCCAACAGACATTAAGTCGTTTTCACTACTGAGTTGGCCCAGCTTCAGACCAGTTGCCTAGAGGTGAAAGGTTCACTATCCCATGATAAATCCCTGAGCCATCTTGATATCCATTTCCCACACCTCCATTTAAATTATTTTCAGCATCTAAGCCAAGTGTACTAAGTACTAACTCATCCATCTGCATAACCCAGTCTGTATAAGTTAACAGTGCCATCAACTTTACATTTTTACACTGCTCCATAATACAAGTAAAGGCACGTGTAAAAGGCTTCTGATGCAAATATAAACCTTGACTTACATGTCAAAAGGGTCCAGATTCTTTTGCCCATGTGAAAAAGGAAAATTTCCTGTGCAGAACCCCACAGCAAGCTGCTAAGGAAGTGGTGTTTACATCCATGCAGGAAAGTCTATAGGGCATGTACTAAGCTCACCTCTCTCTGGGAGACCAGAGTTGCTCCAGTCTGTAGTATGGTTAATGAGCTGTAAGGCGCATATATATAAAATGTGATGGCAGAAAAAGGGAGAATATAAGCATCCCCACTGCCCTCCCAGAGTCCACCTGCTCCCTTCATGGACACAGAATCGCTCAGATAGAACTCTGCAAGATACAACAGTGGGAGGGAGATGGTGTCTAGAGTTTCCCTTCTATGCAAAAGGAGGACCTCTTTATGTGCAGATCAGAGGCATCATGATCTGCCCATAGAAACAAGCTGAACTGTACACGATCTTATTAGATATTAAAACCAGTGTGCATCACTCACATCTTCAGATTTCTGCGCAACTTCCAGAAGGCTCTTAATACATTTAAAAAGCAGAGGCACAGCTTCTGGGACTGGGCGCAAGTTGGGAATCAGCTGATTCATGGCTCATGTCCAGTCCCCACTACGCCCCTGCCCCTCTGGAGACGGTTCTGAGAGGAACCGGCTTTTAAGCCAGCTCCCCCCAGCACCGGCTCCTGTTCTCCCCTCTTCTGCTTATTGGATAGTTGACTAATCGACTAGTCGCTTACATCCCTAATTTATTCATTATCTTCTTTAATCATATTTACTACTTTATGATATAGTAACACTATAATAATCCTTCTATTATACTATAGAATCAATTAGGGTACATCTACACAGCAACAATATTTCAAAATAACTTAGTCCTCATCTACACTGAAGGCAGTTATTTCAAAATAATGTCAAAATACTGTCAAGCTGAAGGACTTCTTACTCCAACTCCTGTAACCCGCATTGTACAAGGAGTAAGGGAGGTTGGAGGAAGAGAGCTCTATTTCGAAATAAGTGCAGTGTAGACACTCCCTATTTTGAAATAAGTTATTTTGAAATAAGCTACACAATTGATGGAGCTCAATTTGCATAGCTTATTTTGAGTTAAACCCTGCTGTGTAGATGCACCCTTAGAAGCTAACGCACTTAAGTGGACAATTAGATAAAATTAATGTCTGAAGAATCATATACAAGGTTTCTTTTAATCAAAACAAGCACTTAGTGACAAGTTTTAAAAGGTGCTGTTTAGTTAAAAAAATTGCAACAAGCACAAATTAAAGGTCAGTCTCAGTTTGCTCTCATCATCTGTATTTCATATCTCCAATGCATTTTAGTGAGAGACATAAATCCCACAAATAGGCTTAAACCATGACCATTCACATATTTAAATCTACACAAATGAAATCTGTTTAAGCCGTAGGCATGATTATATACTATGAGTATAGTCTTTGAAAGAGGCCCTATCCTTTTACTTGGCAGAATTTCATGACTCAAAACATCATTTGATAAAAACAAAGATAATCTCGAGGCAGAAAGGAAATAAATAGTAATAAGACTATCTGCCCTGTGACTAACAGAGGCATCATAGTTTACCATCATTTTAAATAATTCTATATCTTTCTAAGTCTTTTTTTTTTCCAAAAAGAAGGTATCTGACATTGCCTTGCTTACTTGAAATGAGTGGTGATTTTCTTAGGATAAGGATTGCACGATCAGGCCTTAAGGAAGTATGTGTGTCAAACACAAGAGCTATATGCTCCACTTTTCTTAATAAAAAAGACTTTGGGAGGGGGGAGCTCAATCCTAATCTTATTCGAATCTACACCCACTTGATTCAGTGAGGGCACAATCAAACCCTTTTCTGTAGCAAGAAACAAATTATAGTTACTGCTGCAAGATATCCCACAGCAGCCCATGGCAGAGATCCCCCAGCCTGAGTCAACAGAATAGGTCTCGCCACGGCCAGCCTTAGTGAAAACAGCATCCTTGGTGAACTTATATTTTGGCTCCCCATGACTCTGTGGGTGACCCCCATTTCTCTGTAGGTTCCACATTCCTCTTCTACACCTCCAGTCCCTGCATCCCCTTCCTGTGTGCTCCTAACTCCTGCACTCCTCTTTGGCACTCACATGGTGAAACTGACATGGATGTGTGGAGCAGCTGTCATTGATGCTCACTCCCCATCCAATGCTGCTCCTCTGTGTACCTCTAGGGGACTGTGAATGGGGCTCTAAAGAGCAACATTATGGCTGCCTGAATCCAGGTCACTTTCATCTCCTGGGCTGTGTAAGGGGAGGGCAGGAGAGCAGCAGCACTCAACACTTGCCTCACAGCCCGGGTGGGGAGAGTGAGCTGGATGCATGGAGCACTTTCTGTTGCTCCTCGCTACCCCACTTGCAACCCCCTACAGGGCACAGAGGAACAATGGACACACAAACAATATCTGTAGGTCATCACCGCCCCTCCCCCACGCCATATTCCTCTGTTGGGAGGAAATAGGGAGAAATCTGAGTAACATCCCTGCATGCACACACACATGCAATGCTCCTCTGCCATCCATAACATTACATTGGCAGCATGCATTATGGACTGCTTCATAGCACTGCCCTTGACCATGTCACCTTGGGCAGTTGCCTAGGTGGCCCACCCTTAAGGGCAGGACTTGCACTACCACGTCAAAAATAGCTATGTGGACAGCAGTTTTAAATTTCGGCTATGGCTGGAGCTTATGCTCTGAGGCCCACACCTCTCCCTAGGCTTCAAAGCCTTGGGCTACAGTGTCCACATACCTATATTTAGCACAGTAGCATGTGCCCCACAAGCACAAGTCTGTTAAGCTGGCCTGGGGAACTCACTACTGTCCTTAAGCAGCATATGCTGTGATAACCGAACTGTCCTGTCCTTGTGGGTGCTACAAGCAGCTCAAAGAAAACATTAACAGCTGTATTCACTTGCTGTTACACAGATAAATCAAAAGCCTTCACTTCCTCTCACTGTGTACTGCACATGGAGAATAAATGACTAACTTGCTGCAAAGTTTGTATCTAACACTGATAACTCCAAGTTGTGTAAATGAACCCAAACTGAAATTGTTAGAAGTGTAGAACTCAGCTGTTCGTGCCACATGTTTCCTTCAAAAATGGCTTGAAGTCAGTTTTACAACTGCAGGATGATCAATGCACATCTACAGTCATATGATGTATCTGACAAGAACTACATCTTATACATCTTCTTGTCTGCCAAAAGCCACGAGATATTCCACTGGACCAATGTAAACCAAATAAGACAGAAATAAAAGTGGGGAAGCAGTAATGAACCCTTTTTGTCTTAGATAGAGCAAGGACAAAGCACAGTGGTTGAAAGAGAAGCCACACAAATAAAAAAACTGAAGGACTCCAGTGAACCGCATTAGAAAAGTTAATATGTATAAAGTCTGATTCTTTTTGGAACAAGAAGTTCCATCGATTCCAATGGGATTACTCATGGGAGCAAAAACCATGCATATGAGTAAGGATACCAGACTGGCTCATAGTACAATAGGCTTCCTATAATCCGGAACTTTTGATAAACTGGTTATATATATATACTGTATACATTATATACTGTATATAAAGTGTTCCTAGCCCTTTTTATTGTACATACTGTATACAGTATACTGTAATCTTTTCATTTTTTATCCCTTTTTTACCCTTTACACTCAGTTCAGCTGCTGCCGCTGCTGCCTTGTGACTCATTTTTTGCCGAAGCTCACTCACTAGGCTCTTGCCATTTTGATGCCGGACTATCGGGTGTGCCATACAATTTGATGCCAGACTACTGGAGTTTTACTGTACTCTGGTTTCTGGTAAACTATGAGTGTACATTTTCATATAGCTTTGACATCAGAAATTAGGTAAAAGTATAGGTACTTACACAGTAAAATGGTAAATAAAACATTTCCATCCACTAGGCCTCTCCAGGAAGTTGTAGACATCTCCCTGCATGCTCGTTTTGGTTAAATAAGGGCCATAGAAACACTTGGCTGTGTAGGTCCTACGGAGTTCACTTCCTGTCATAAGTTGGTTGCTGAGCTGGAAAACTGAATCCACAGTGTCTTCCTCAGATTTACAGGGAATTCCTGATCCATTATTCACGACAGTATCTGGAGCTAGTGCCACTGAAGAATACTGCATATTGTTTAAGTTCTCTGTGACTTCCAACAGTCCTGAAGACTTCCTATGTCCATTCAGACTACCTGACTGGGAGCTGGTGCTTTGAGCCTGACCACCGAGGTTATACATAGAGTGCCCACCAGTTTCACCATTACCACAGGACATTCTATGATGAAGCACAGGTACTGCTAACCCTGATCAATTTTTAAAATAATAAAAGAAGGTATTGTATGTCCTTTCTGATCTGGGTGTTCTCCAATAACTGATAAGTTGTCTTTCTGCCCTTATCCTGGAATGCTTCTGTGACACAACAGTGGGAGCCACCAGCCTGTCACCTGTTGTCACTCAGAGACTCTGAAATTAAATCAGAAACACAGATTAGACAATGGAGACACAAAAAGTAACTAGGCAATAAGACTTTTCGAAAGGGTGAAATGTTAAAATTCAATGCAATGACAAATAAAAAGAGGATTAAAATATCTACTAAGATAGCACACTGCAAGTAACAGAAACATTTTACCTTCCTTTTAGGTAAATCTATCAAATCATTTTAAATTCAGTGAATACAGAAGTGTCCTTTACTGAACATAGCACAGTTACAGCTGCAAATTGATCAGTGTTTCTGGTTTCTCAGAATCTACACATTGACTATAAGATCACTGTGTGCTAAAGCATAATATACATAGGTTTACAATATGGAGTTTCATTATTATGTTGCATTTTGAAAAACTTAGCTAGGATGTCTACATTACAGGAGAGTTTTAAGACTGGGGATGAGCAATTTCAGACAGAGATGATCCTGCAGTTGTAACTCATGATGTGCTCAGAGTTTTGCCCAAGTTAAAAAAAAAAGATGGACTGGGAACTTTAACATGCTACATTAACTCAAAATTATTTCTGAGTAGATCTGTGTTGTTGCAATGTGTTTAATGAGGACCTGATTCTGTTTTAATACAACAGCTTTATACTCGTGTTAGTTTCATTGACCTAAGTGAAATCCAGATGGTGGAACGGGTTGGGAAATTTGGCTCAGAATGCTCAACGTGTATTTCATAAAACAGATTTGAATAGCTATAGTCTAATATGTTCTAATAATGTCTACATTTATTTTTATATCATTGTATAATTGTTTTGCAGGCATTAGAAATCTGTTCTTTAAAATTGCCTTCATTCTTACACATGTCCACATAAATACAGTATTACAGGTTTTGCTTACACCCAAAAAAGCAAGGCAATAGTGGAATTAATGCTGAAACAATGCCTCTTACTCAAGTCAGGATGCCCCTTAGTTGCAGGTGATTTGTTCCTCTGTTGGAGGGGCCTCAAAACATACTCTAGGATCTCCTACAACCTCAACATAACCACAAATTAAAAATGGAATTTCAGCCTTAATCTCCTGTCTTTGGTCAAATTAGACTTATTTGTTTTATTGCTTAAAAATCTCAATGTGTGAATGAATAAATTGTCATTCTAAGTAGAGCCCCACTTCCAAGGTATTTCTGGAAATGTGTACATGGGGTAGCGGTCTTGTTACCAAGAAAACTATTTTTTCTTAATGCATTTTGCAAAGAGAAAAATGTCCTTGTTAATCACACTGCTGATGGATAAATACTTCTAATCTTCATTTTTCTATAGCCATTTCCCTCTGCTAAAAAGTAATCAGCAGCAATTGCAAATAGAAAGCAAGAAGCCTTTCAGCCCACCCATTTCTCAAGATGAATCTATGCTAAACAAAGAAAGAACTACTCTCACTCAGTTCAATTCATTTTACAGGGTTTAAAAGTAACCACACAAGTGCTACCAACAGAAGTCTGTTAACTAACCTTTGCAAACAAAGCTACATTAGAAACATTTACTAGCATGCTTAATCAAAAAGTGAGACTACACAAACAGAGAGAGGAAAAAAAGCATAAAGAAAAACCTGAAACCATCTGGCAAGCACCGCATACTCTCTCCTGTTGTACTTCTGTGAGTGTCCCTTTTCTCCTCTTTTCTGCTCCTCGGCTACATATGGCAGATTGCATAGGTGCAGAGAGAACTGTTGTCTAACTCTGCCCCCTAGCTTATCAAGTCCCACCCTTACCCATCCAGGGTACCTCCCTTATTTCTCCCTGGTCTGTTTTCCTTTGGAAGTAGGGGTAAGGCAAAAAGGAATGAGGGGCTCCCAGTTGTGATGTTTTTATCATGTCAGAGAGGAGTATTTATGCTTCTCTGCTATTATGTCACTAGTAGCAGAAACAAAGCAATAGTTTAGATGTTCAGTTCTCCTTCTTTCTCCCCTGACACCATGCATCTTTTCCTACCTGTGTATAACTAATTAAAAATTATGGTATTTCCTTCACAATCTTTTGAATTATGCACTAGTACTTACTTGCAACAGTCTCTTATACTCAACAGTCTAAGCAGAATATTATTTTTACCTGAACATCTGGTGAAGTCAGTAACAAAGGGTCATATCTACCCATGTCAGGATGGTGTTATCTATTTTTTCATTGCCCTTTCTAATCTAACACTCATTTTTCTTATTCCAGTGAAAGGAAGAGGGCATTCGAAATGTAGATTCCTCAGCATTGTTTTTCAGCTTGCTGCTGTGCCTTGTGATCATGCCAGAAAAGTGGTGAATACAGTACTGATTTAAAAAAATGTTTATTGTCTCATTTCTTTGAAAACATTGTGTATTGTAGGGAATGATAGGAATTTGACTCAAAGTTCTCACCCTGCATGTGAAAGATAATTTACCTAAGGGTCAATCAAAGAAACTGGAGTGGGACAGGTATATTACATCTACTCTCCTACCAATGCAGAACTGTTGCCATTTTCCTTTTTGTATTCCAGTTCTAAATGTGCTAAACAAGATGGTTTGCATGTGTTTTCTTGGAAAGAACATACCAGGCAAACACTTTCAGATAGTCCTTGATTTCTTAATTTCAACTGACTGCTCCTATTTAAACCTGTGTGTACATCCTGAAATAATTCTTAGGTATGTACCCTTTCAAATATTTGTAGATTTATCATGTTAACTAGCGCTACCAATCTGTAAACTAATCTATAAACATGTATCTTTTTCCCTAAGTCAGTGCCTCCAGAACTCTGAATTTTTGTTGCTCTCTTTCATTTGCCTCTTTACAATTTTGATTATAAGTTTGAGTCTGTCAGAAAACCTGGTGCATGTCTTGAGTCTCTTATAAAAGTTTTGCACCACACTGCTTTTACTCATCCCTCGGACGATTGGGAAATATGCGTTCAATTCCAGTTTCATGGACAAGTCACTTACTCTGTGTCTCAGATCCCCATCTGAGAACTACCTTTCTCAAAGGGACGTTGTGAGTTTAATGATCTACAAAATGCTTTGGAAAACTGACATTATGCAGCACCTAACAAAGCTTCCCTACCTCACAGGGATGTTCAGAGGATAAATACATTAGATTATAAGCAGATGTTCCAGAAGCCTGGAAAAGGGCAAATATAGTGCCCAACTATAAAAAGGGAAATAATGACAATTTGCAAACATCTGGAAAATAATTAGGTGATAAGGAACAGTCAACAGGTATTTGTCAAGAACAAATCATGTCAAACCAACCTGATAGCTTTCTTTGAGAAGGTAACAATCCTTTTACATAAAGGGGAGTTGTAGTTGTGGTTTACCTAGACCTGAGTAAGGCATTTGATACAGTCTCACATGACTTTCCCATTAACAAACTAGGGAAATACAACCTAGACGGAGCTACTAGGGTGGGGGCATTACTAGTTGGACCATTCCTAGAGAAAACATTAAAAAACAACAAATAGTCTAGTAACACCTTAAAGACTAACAAAACATGTAGATGGTATCATGAGCTTTTGTGGGCAGATATCATCTGAAGAAGTGGGTTGTGCCCTCAAAAGCTCATGATACCATCTACATATTTTGTTAGTCTTTAAGGTGCTCCTAGACTATTTGCTGTTTTTTAAGTTTTCCTGTTACAGACTAACCTGGCTACCCCTCTGAAGCTTTTGAACATTCCTAGAGAGTAATTATCAATGGTTCACAGTCATGCTGGAAGGCCATAGTAAGTGAGGTCCTGTAGGGATCAGTTTTTGTGCAGTTTTGTTCAACATCTTCATCGGTGATGTAAATAATGGAATAGAAAGCACACTTACACAGTTTGCAGATGATACCAAACTGGGAGGGGTTGCAAGTGCTTAAAATTCAAGATGATCTGGACACTGAAAAAAAATAGGATGAAATTCAATAAGGACAATGCAAAGTACAGGTTGGACCTCCCGGGTCCGATACCCACCTTCAAAACCTGACTGGTCCTGAATGAGTGAATTGGCCAGACCAGGAGAGGTCCCCTGCCATCAGCCCCACAACCCACTGTCCCTCCTCTGTTGCCACTGGATCCACTTCTCACCCCGGCCAGCCCCCATGCTTCTGGCCCAGATGCGCTTGCTGGACTCTGGCTTCCCTACTGCCAGCCCTGGCTAGCCCAGATGGACTACCTGCCCTGACCGGGCTGCCAGACACCAGCCCCTTGAGGCTGGCCCTGGCACCTTGCCACCAAATCCAGCCTCAGCCCCGCTGCCACCAGCTCTGGCCCCAGCCAGGCTGCCAGACGTTAGCCCCGCTGTCACCTGCTGAGTAGGGCTGCCCCTCTGCCAGGGTCTTGGCAAGCCTCCCTGCTGCTGGCCTCCCTGCCACCGGCTCCTGGCCCAACGGGGCTCCCAACCTCTGGTTCTCCTGTCATTGGGCTCCTGACTCCGAGGCTGTCTGGTCCAGGAACATCTGTGGTTCTTCTGGACTACGGATATTCCTGGACCACAAAGTCATAGTTTAGGGAAGTACAACCTATACTCCACTGAGGAAGGAAAAATCAATTGCACACATAAATGGGAAATGTCTGCCTATGAAGGGGTAATACAGAAAGGAGTCGGGGGGTGGGGCATATCATAGTGGATCACAAGCTAAATATGAGTCAACCATGTAATACTGTTGCAAAAAAAGTGAACATGATTCTGGGATGTATTAACAGGAGTCTTACAAGCAAGACACAAGAAGTAATTCTTCCACTTTTTGCGGAAAAGCACTTTTTGCGGAAAAGCATCCGTGCCAATCTAGATGCACTTTTGCGCAAAAAAGCCCCGATTGCCATTTTCGCGATCGGGGCTTTTTTGCGCAAAACAAATCTGACCTGTCTACACTGGCCCTTTTGCGCAAAAGCTTTGCGCAAAAGGACTTTTGCCCGAACGGGGGCAGCATAGTATTTACGCAAGAAGCACTGATTTCAGACAATAGGAAGTCAGTGTTCTTGCAGAAATTCAAGCGGCCACTTGCTTTTGCGGAAAAACTTTCCAGTCTAGACACAGCCATAGAGTTCTCAGGCTGATTGTGCTAGAACCTCTATATGCACATAAAAATATGGGCTCTTCCCCCAAAGAGTCTGTAGTCTAGGTCAAAATTCTAAGGAACCCATTACACTGTTTTTCCTTATTAAGATTGACTGTCTAACCCTGCATAGGTTTCTGTTCACTACTTACTCTATAAATCATCCTGTTCACAGTTGGAGTTGCAATATGGCAACAAGGATTCCTTGAACTGCTAAATGAAGTTAAGACAAATTTTCTTAACTAATAGAAATAAGATGGGAATTTTTGGTACCATACCCAGAAAGACAAATAGAAGTGTGAAGTCTCAAATAACTTTGAAAAACACTATGCAGGAACTACAGACAAGTTGGTTTCTTCCCTGATAGGTGAAACCTTGGTCTAACATGAACTTTCTGTTCTTGTTTTTACTTTAACACTTTTTTTTTGGGGGGGGGGGATAAGTAACTTAGGGTTGATTTATCATATGGAAATGGCACCAAAGAAATTAATTCATTCCCTGATCTACAGTATAGGGCAAGATAGTAATAACTTATAATCTACATTATGGCTACTCTATAGCCGGTTTTTTCCAATTGTTTGCAATTTTGCCAAACTTTAACCATTAAGACTGTAATGATTGGTCTACTTCAGGCTGCTGCTTTTTCTGAAAATTACAGCAAAACCAGTTCAACAATTTCAGAGAAAGAATTCAGGGGAAAGATGTAGTTTTTTCAATATTAACAAAAAATTCACCTTGTGCTCTTTCTTTCGCTTGTTCTGTCTTTCTGTTGTTTTCTCACAGAAGTGTAATGTATTCCAAAGAGATACAAGTGTAAAATAGTAATATTTGCTAGAGAAAGTAGTAAGTGCTCCAGTTTGAAAGAATAAAGATGGCATATGCGTCTTCCCCCTCTCCCTAACTTTCTCTGGCTGTCTTCAGCCTGCAGCATTCAGAAGCAGGTATAGCATAACCACCTTGTATGTTGAAATCAAGTTTTCTATTTACTTTATTCCATTTTATAATCATGTCAAATTAATTCAGCACCCTGGAGAGTGAAAAGAGTTCAATTCTGACAAGGACTCTACCCAATACATTGTGCACTATAAAGGTGACATTTAACTATGAATATATAAGTAATTAGGAACTATTAGGGCAAATTCTTATTAAGGTATGCAAGGAATCTGACTTGTAAAGAGCTGTAGAATCTTATCCTAGGATGCTAAATAGCACGGGACTCAATACTATTTTCTTCATTTTCAAGGTTATTTTAGATAGCTTGAGTAGAGGGAGGGAATTCAAATTCTCTCTTTCAGAATCAGGATAAATTAATCTAATTTGATTCTATTGCTACATAAGGATGTAACAATGTTACTCTGTCCTGGTGCAGGATCCGGGCCTACATGTTTATTATTGTTGAACCCAGGAACCCATGATAAATAGGTACTAGAAGAAAACTCAGCTTTTTACTCTCCAGGATTGCAGGAAGAATACAGAAAAGTATTTGAGGCTTGTATGGATTTGAGTCTATGAATGGAGTATAATGACTATGAAAACCTAGAAGGGGCCAGAAGACCCTGCTCCATGAACACTATAATGAACAAACATACAGGAAATGGCCAAGGCCAGAAGACAAGAAGCAGTCCTGGGGGAATAGTAGGTGGATTTGAAAAGACATGTTCATTTAAAGGTCCAGGACTAGAAGCCATGTAGTTTAGGGTGAGCAGAGATCCTTTCTCCCTCAGCCCTTTGGAAGGAGCTCTCAGAAGAAGGATAGTAGGTATGCTGCCTTCTCTTTCAGAACAGAGAAGATAGTCAGGAGAAGGAAGTTAGGGCCAGAAGGCTGAGAATTAGCTTGGGAGAAGCTTTGTGAAGAGTAGGGCAGGATAAAAGAAAAACATCTCAGACTGTGATAGAAGAGGCAGAGAGGAATATAAAATTTTGTGTTTCTGTAATAGTCTTTAATTTAATATTTAGGGGATGATTTTTGAATATTGTTTTTGTTACTTAGAAAAATCCAGTCAGGGAGTGGAATGATTGTGAAGCTGACAAGGGGACCTGAACAGGGGAAACAGAGGTAGGGCACTATAGGTTCACTTCTGGCCATGAGGGGAAGCTCAGTTGGCAGCTGCCCTGATACAAGGATCAATTTAATGAACACAATGTTTTCCAGTAGGAACATTCCAAAGCATGGTAGAGACCTAGCTATAAGGCTCTCACTAATTTAAACAGTGGCTAAAATATTAGACAACTCAAGGGGTAAAGAAATCCATTCCTTCACATTTTAACTTGTGTTGAGTTCTCTTGTAATTTCTAAATTGTCGTAGTGATGGTGGGAGTAACCAGGAAAAGACAAACATTTGTGATGAGTCACATACTTAACAAAACCTGCAGCTCTAAGCCCATAATGGTCCCAAGAACTGTGTCTGATCTTTCTCTGTATAGGGCCATTTCACTTAGGCCTGGTCTACACCAGGACTTTACATCAAATTTGACCACCTATGGTTGATTTTCTAAGTGATTCGTCCACACTACCAAGCCTGTTGCACCACCCTTAGAAGCTGCCGAAGTTGATTTCATACTCCCGCTTTCCCACCACATAGATAAATTATTAAGAAATCGTATGTATTAACAAAGAAATTATTCACACGCAGTCTTGGAAAAAGTCCCTCTGTTAATATAATTGTATTATAGAAAGGGAAGGCAAGATTACTGCTTGAAATATTGGATCTATTGTAATTGATGAAGAGGTATCAGATAGCAGTGGTAGATAGCTTTCAAATAATAAGGGACAATTTAAATCCTTGCACAGTGAACCTCAACTGTAATTTGATTCCTTACTCCAATTATATTAAGTGTTCCAGCATTGTTTAATTGCATTTGTTTAAATCATTAGTGATGCACTGGAAGAGATGTATAATGTTGTTGATACCAGCGTGGTAACAGAATATCTTTAATAATATTGGACACATTACAAGTATATTTGAAGTAATTGAGCAAAATATAATTAATGCATTGGCAGATTATTTGTCTGAGAATTACATGGCTGTAACTGAAGAAAAACTTTATTATTTGCTGTAATGAGTCATGCTAAAAGTAAAGACAATAAGAATTTTTGCTTTTGATTTATGGTTCCCCTAACGCTCTTTATTAAATTCATGCATGTAGTGTAACAATGTCAAAATAACTTTTTTTTTAAAAATGCACTGTAACTTAATATTTTAATCAACATAGCTAATCATAAAAAGGGTAAACTGCTTTTGAAATAACTTAACACCAAATGCCATATTCCATGCTTACAACACTGGTACTATTCAAAGTCTGAAGCTCTAATTTTCCAGAAATGATTCAGTTAGGGAAGAGATGGATAAAAGTGGTATGACCTGTTTTTCCATTTCTTCTCTATCTGTCTTAACTACTCTTCAGTGCAAGGATATGCCTTACTGTGTTGTGTAACACTAATTTTAATAGTTATGCAAGAATATGTTCTATAGGGAGCACATATCCAGTACATACGGCCAAGGTTTTCATAAATAGGAGCCTGAAATTAGGCTGTTGTGCCCATATTTATTCTATTCTATTCTATTCTATTCTATTCTATATTGGTTCTTACACCACCCTCATAATCATAGGATTTTGCTTAATGTACTAATATCTAAAGTCCTGCAAATCCATGGATATCTGCTTTGTAACCGCAGGTATCTGCATCTGCAGATGCTAATGTCCATGGCTCATTCATGCAGATACATGAGGATGCAGATATAAATATTGTATCTGTGCAGGGTTCTACTAATATCCAGGGGAGGAAGAATTACAGGGGTATGAAGAATTAGTCTTAATAATCTATGTCTGGCCCCTCTGGCCTGCTTTGGGGGTGCTGCAGGGCTGCTGGCCTGGAGATGCTTAGGTAAGTGACTCTTACTAATATCTAAAGTCCTGCAAATCCATGGATATCTGCTTTGTAACCGCAGGTATCTGCATCTGCAGATGCTAATGTCCATGGCTCATTCATGCAGATTCATGAGGATGCAGATATAAATATTGTATCTGTGCAGGGTTCTACTAATATCCAGGGGAGGAAGAATTACAGGGGTATGAAGAATTAGTCTTAATAATCTATGTCTGGCCCCTCTGGCCTGCTTTGGGGGTGCTGCAGGGCTGCTGGCCTGGAGATGCTTAGGTAAGTGACTCTCAGCCAGAGCCTGCCTCTGGCACTCCTGCCCCTTCCGCACACCACCTCCCTCCCCCAGGTCACAATCCAAACCCTTTGTACCCCCCTGACCCAGGTCACAACTCCCTCCCAGACTCTGTAACCCCTCTTGCACTCCTCCCCCAGGACAGAATCCTCTCCTGTATCCATACTCCCTCCCTGACCCTACACCCAAATCCCATGATGCGGGTCACAATCCCCTTCTTCACCCAAACTCCGTCTGAGACCTCACACCATGTCCTGGACCCCAGTCCCATACCCCATGAACTTTTCTGTACCATCCTAAACTCCCACACCTCCTCCATAGAAAAGTGTGACTCTTCACCACTTTCCAAAATCTTAGAGTGGTCCCCCACCAAAAATTATTGCTCACCCCTGTCTAAAAGAGTGTTTCTTATTTTTGTTTGCTTCTCATTTGTGTGTGACTCCCAACTGATTTTTTGTGGATCAGTGGCCGCCAATTCACAAAAGGATCCCCACCCCTGGTTTAAACAAACGAAGCCAGTTTTGCTGATCATACTTTCTATAATATGGACTTTATCTACTATGTGGTGGATTCAGATTTGAATGTTCAGTTCATCTGGATGGGAGCCAAGGTAAACTGGGTTTGACTTCCAGTTAATCAGTGTTGTGTTGCAGAATCTCTTTTGTTACTGACTTCATGAATCTAATTATAGACTAAACCACCAGTTTTGGGCGATTGCCCAACAGTCTGCCCTGAGTATGGCATTCTCAGGCTATGTCTAGATGGCAGGCTTCTTGCAGAAGAAGCTTTTCTGGAAGAGATCTTCCAAAAAAACTTCTTCCAAAAGAGGGTCCACACTGCGAGAAGCTTTTCTGGAAGAGATCTTCCAAAAAAACTTCTTCCAAAAGAGAGTCCACACTGCAAAAGCGAATCAAAAAAGTGATCTGCTTTTCTGACAGGCAGTGTCCACGCTGAATGGATGCTATCTCACATGTAAGCTATGATTACTATGGGTGGAATGGCCACCAAAGCACCTGTGCTTTTTCCTCTTCTTGCAAAGAACTCCCTCTTCCCCGTCCACACACACCTTTTTCTGAAAGAGCTCTTTTGGAAAAAGGCTTCTTCCTTGCAGAATGAGGTTTACCAATGTTGGAAAAACCCCTCAGTTCTTTCGATTTTTTTTTCAAAAGAACGCGATTTTTTTCCAAAAAAAACCCCTCTGTAGTGTAGACATACCCTCAGTGTGGTCCATCTTAAGCAGCTAGTCACACCAAGTTTTTGATGTATTTTACAAAAAAAGTGCATGATTTGAGATCATTTTAACAGAAAATATGCACTATAGGCATTGACATTCAACATGAATCTTCTCAACAATACATATAGGCTATGTCTACACTGGCACAATCTTGCGCCAGAAGTATGCAAATGAAGCTAAGCGTGGAATATCGCCGAGCCTCATTTGCATATCTAATGAGCCGCCATTTTTGTGGAAGAGGCTCTTGCGCCAGAAGGAGCTGTCTACACTGCTCCTTCTTGCACAAGAAAACCTCTCTTGCGCAATGTCATTATTCCTGAAAATAATCAGCATAACGGCATTGCACAAGAGGGTTTTTCTTGCGCAAGAAGGGGCAGTACAGACAGCTCCTTCTGGCACAAGAGCCTCTTCTGCAAAAATGGTGGCTCATTAGATATGCAAATGAGGCTCGCAAAAATGGCGGCTCATTAGATATGCAAATGAGGCTCGGTGATATTCCATGCTTAGCTTCATTTGCATACTTCTGGCGCAAGATCACGCCAGTGTAGACATAGCCATAAAGTAAGCCACACCAAACTCATAAAACAGGAATTCCAACATAACATTTAACACCTGCAGTTAGGAACTTGTTACATTATTAGTACAGGCAGTCCCCGGGTTACGTACAAGATAGGGACTGTAGGTTTGTTCTTAAGTTGAATTTGTATGTAAGTCGGAACTTGTACATATTGTAGGGGAAACTCTAGCCAAACATTTCTCCAGAGCTCAGTTTTATTCTCCCACACCTCACTTACCTCAGTCCTTTATTCTCAAGCTGAGGTGTCTGCTGAGAAAAGCCGCTCCGCGTCTCTCTGGTCTGCTGAGGGGGGCGCTAGCTTCGCCATTTTGGTTCCAGCCATCTTGCAGTTTGCATATTCTCATACATGGCCCCATTTTCCAGATAAATCATACATCCTAATGCATTTGATTACCAGTTTGTTCAGATTGGCATTGAAGAAGCCTACACTTTAATTATATATTTACAAATGTTCATAACTGAAGCTGTGCAGGATTTCTTTACTCCTCATGATATGTATACGCACGGGATTTCTCATTATACACATTGGCTATGTCAATACTGGCGTGATCTTGGGCCAGAAGTATGCAAATGAGGCTAAGCGTGGAATATCGCCAAGCCTCATTTGCATATCTAATGAGCCACCATTTTGCGGAAGAGGCTTTTACGCCAGAAGGAGCTGTCTACACTGCCCCTTCTTGCGCAAGAAAAACCCTCTTGCGCAATGCCGTTATTCCTCAAAATAATCAGTGTAACGGCATTGTGCAAGAGGGTTTTTCTTCCACAAGAAGGGGCAGTGTAGATAGCTCCTTCTGGCGCAAGAACGTCTTCTGCAAAAATGGCGGCTCATTAGATATGCAAATGAGGCTCGGTGATATTCCATGCTTAGCTTCATTTGCATACTTCTGGCGCAAGATCACGCCAGTGTAGACATAGCCATAAAGTAAGCCACACCAAACTCATAAAACAGGAATTCCAACATAACATTTAACACCTGCAGTTAGGAACTTGTTACATTATTAGTACAGGCAGTCCCCGGGTTACGTACAAGATAGGGACTGTAGGTTTGTTCTTAAGTTGAATTTGTATGTAAGTCAGAACTGGTACATATTGTAGGGGAAACTCTAGCCAAACATTTCTCCAGAGCTCAGTTTTATTCTCCCACACCTCACTTACCTCAGTCCTTTATTCTCAAGCTGAGGTGTCTGCTGAGAAAAGCCGCTCCGCGTCTCTCTGGTCTGCTGAGGGGGGCGCTAGCTTCGCGTCTCCCTGGTCTGCTGGGGAGAAGCAGCTAGTGCGGGGTTGCCTCCCCCCGTTTGTAAGTAGGGATCCGATGTAAGTCGGATCCATGTAACCCGGGGACTGCCTGTATAGCAAATAATCAACAACAAAGAATTCCTTCTTGTGTTACCCTACAGAGGAAAGAAAAATTAAAAGTGACAATGCCCTCTAATTGGGACTATTTCCATCTGTTACTGAATTAATAGCAGGATGTGAGAATTTTTGGTGAACATGGATAAAGCTATCTTACATTAGTAACAAGCTGGTGAAGTGGCTATTAAAGGTTCTCCTGAGATGCCACTTTGAACTGGGGTGCTGTGAAAGGCTCTCAAAAAGCAGCTTCACATAGCTGCTGAGTTCAGTTAAGGAATGGCTCAAAACTCAAGTGCACACCTTCTCTAGCGGATAAAGAATGAAAACTCATGAAATTCACTCCCTCCCTCAATATGGAGAGGGATATGAACAGCTTTCTGCCCCACGTTATAATTTCCACACAAGTTGGTTTTAGATAAAACAAGTTTATTAACTACAATGAGAGATTTTAAGTGATTATAATCTGCTACCCCCAGGAACTGGAATGCCCCCCCCACTGCCCATTAGATGGCTGGAGTGGCTCTCAGACCTGTCACGGCCTTCTCCCTCCCACCACCCACTGCCTGCACACTGATGCTTATCAGTTAATGGTATTGGTTATGTTCAGCCAGCTCTCACATAGGTGGCATCGCTGCGGCAGAGCAGTGAACCCACCACCTTGGGAGCCAGGAGGACAAGGGCTGCCTGACGGGGAGAAAGCTTCACTGTAGCAGTAAAGCCTCCTCCCCAGGAGCTGGGCCAGCAGGAACTGGCACTCCTGCTGCAGGGGAGGTTTCACTGTGAGCTCTGCAGTATAAAGCTAAGCATTATACTTCAGAGGCCGCACTGTGTGTAACCATGTAATCACTAAGATTTTTAATGATTACATGATTATCCTATTGCATGATTTTTAACATCCCTACTAAAAACAGGAACTGAGCTACTAACCCAATAACTTCAGGAACCAATGCTTTGAGATTATCTTAGTGAGCTAGAAATAATAGCTAGAGCTGTCACTGAGCTCATGCTTTGACATTACCACCAGAGACATCAGGAAACTGTGCCTTAAAATGGGCCTATAACTAGTTGAACCAACAACTTCACAATATTGCTAACACTTTTAGTCACTGGTGTTCTCAAAGCATAGATTTCTGAGTTATGAAAATGTGTGAACCCCATTTTTCACTCATGAGGAAGTCCCCTCCCCCAAGATTATAATTTTTATGACTGTGGAAAAAAGCTTGCAAAAATGACCCAACATATAAATGTCTCTTAAGGACCCAGAAACCAAAAGGCAAGAAGCAAAGGCTGTACAAAATATTTTTAAAAGCCTCATGGTTTTAAAGCCAGTCTCATGATTTGCATATGTCAAACTAATGGACACACTGTAGAAGTACAGATAAACACAAATAAGAGTAGCACCACAGCCTATAGGTTGCTGAATGACAAGCTTTGCATTCCTTCTAAGGTCCCTAGTTGAAGACCCTCCCCCCCCAAAAAAACCCCAGGAGCTTGCAGATTAATACATTTGGGCTACGTCTACACTAGCATGATTTTCCGGAAATGCTTTTAACGGAAAAGTTTTCCATTAAAAGCATTTTCGGAAAAGAGCATGTAGATTGGCAGGACGCTTTTCCACAAAAGCACTTTTTGCGGAAAAGCATCTGTGGCCAATCTAGACGTGCTTTTCTGCAAAAAAGCCCCGATCGCCG